GGGAGGGTCCCCTCAGCTGATGTAGACCCGGTGGAAGTCGTGGGCGCCGAAGGCGGCGTTGCACTTGGGGCACTTGCGCTGGCGGGTGTCGTAGCGGCTCTTGACGCACTCGAAGCAGAAGACGTGGAAGCACTTGGTGAGCACCGCGTCCTTCTTGCGGGCGTTGCAGCAGGGGCACGTCAGCCGGGCCTGGGGGGGGGAGGGGGGGAAGCAATTAGGAGGTGCCAGGGGTGGCCCAGAGAGGTGGGAGGTCAATGGAGGTCAGTTGAGGTGAACGGAGATCAATTGAGGTCAACTGAGGTCAACTGAGGTCAGCTGAGGTCAACTGAGGTCAACTGAGGTCAACTGAGGTCAACTGAGGTCGACTGAGGTCAACCAAGGTCAACCGAGGTCAACTAAGTTCAACCAAGGTGAACTGAGGTCAACTGAGATCAACTGAGGTCAACCAAGGTCAATTGAGATCAACGGAGGTCAACCAAAGTCAATTGAGGTCAACTGAGATCAACCAAAGTCAACTGAGATCAACTGAGGTCAACCGAGGTCCAGTGAGGTCAACCGAGGTCAACTGACGTCAACCGAGGTCAACTGAGGTCAACCAAGGCCTAAGAACTCAGCCAAGGTGCACTGAGGTCAACCAAGGTCAACTAAAGTCAACTGAGGTCAACCGGGGTCAACTGAGGTCAAATGAGATCAACTGAAGTCAACTGAAGTCAACTGAGGTCAACTGAGACCAACTGAGACCAACTGAGGTCAACTGAGGTCAACCGAGGTCAACTGAGGTCAACTGAGGTCAACAAAAGTCAATTGAGATCAACTGAGGTCAACCAAGGCCAACTGAGGTCAACTGAGGTCTTAGAAGCCAACCAAGGTCAAACAAGGTCAACTGAGGTCAGCTGAGATCAACTGAGGTCAAACAAGGTCAACTGAGGTAAACTGAGGTCAACCAAAGTCTACTGTGCTCAACTGAGGTCAACCAAGGTCAGCTGAGGTCAAAGAACCCAGCCATGGTCAATGGAAGTCAACCAAAGTCAACCAAGGTCAACCAAAATCAACTGAGGTCAACTGAGGTCAAATAAGATGAAACAAAGTCAACTGAGGTCAACCCAAGTCAATCGAGGTCAACTGAGATCAACTGAGGTCAACTGAGGTCAACCAAGGTCAACTGAGGTCAACTGAAGTCAACTGAGGCCAACTGAGATCAACTGAGGTCAACCTAGGTCAACTGAGGTCAACTGAGGTCAACTGAGATCAACTAAGTTCAACCAAGGTGAACTGAGGTCAACTGAGGTCAACTGAGGTCAACCAAGGTCAAGTGAGATCAACTGAGGTCAACTGAGGTCAACCCAAGTCAACTGAGGTCAATCAGAGTCAACTGAGATCAAATGAAGTCAAGTAAGGTCAACTGAGGTCAACTGAGGGCAACCAAGGCCTAAGAACTCAGTCAAGGTCAACTGAGGTCAACCGAGGTCAACTGAGGTCAACTGAGGTCAACACAAGTCACCCGAGGTCAACCAAAGTCAACCAAGGTCAACTGAGGTCAACCAAGGTCAACTGAGGTCAACCAAGGTCAACTGAGGTCAACCAAAGTCAACCAAGGTCAACTGAGGTCTTAGAACCCACCCAAGGTCAACTGAAGCTCTTCGAAGATGCACCAAGCTCTTCCAACCCACCCAACCCCTTCCCACCCCCACCCAAACTCCTCCCACCCCCTTCCAGGCCCCTCCCCCGCCCCCATGACCCACCCGGTACTCCTTGATCTCCTCCTGCAGGATCTGATCGGCGTCGGCGTAAACTTCCACCTTGCGCTGCTTCTCCAACTTCCGGCGCAGCCGGGACAGCTCCTCCTGGGGGAGAGGCACCCATGGGACCCTACAGGCACCTATGGGACCCTATGGGACCCTATAGACACCCATGGGACCCTATAGACACCTATGGGACCCTATGGGACCCTACAGACACCCATGGGACCCTATAGACACCCAACTTTCCCCCCAAAACCCCAAATTTTCCCAAAAACCCCCAAATTTACCCCAAATTTCCCTCACCTGGACCCTCTTGAGGCTCAGCTGCTCCTTGGCCTTTGGGCCACCTGGTCCCCAAATCCCTTCTTGATCCTCCCCAAACACCCCAAAATCCACCCCAAATAATCCCAAAATTGTCCAAAATCATCCCAAAACCCCAAATTTTCCCAAAAAACCCCAAATTTACCCCAAAATTTCTCTCCCTGAGCCCTCTTGAGGCTCAG